TGTGTTTTAAATGCAGGGAAATCAATCCACTGCCTATGGTGGGCTTGGCATCCTCAGCCAATCACAAACCAGCTTAGTCTTGATATACATAGATGAATAAACAGTTAATCTGTGGTGCTTAATTACCTCACAGTCAGCAGCTATTTGGGTTTTGTATATTTAATTTGTTCTTGCCTTTGAATTTGTATTTTTTTTCAGCATTTTGCTTTACTTTGTGTAATATAGTTTTTTTGCATTGTTTCTCTATTTGCTTTGCCTGTTTCTTTCCAGAGGTACTTTTGTTTCCTCGTCATTTTGGAATTTTAGTTTGGCAGCACTCGTCCAAAGTCAGCTAGCACATTTGGCATATCAATGGGAGGACACTGGACTGAGATTTACTCGTAATAAATTCTACCAAGACCCCCAATCCCCCCCCCCCCATGGATCCAAGACACCTATGTGTTTTGTATTTATGGTGGTTTGCTTGTTGCCCTATGATGCACTCTATGGCAGACCTGTGTTTAAAGGTTGTGATACATTCAATAAGAACTTTATAGCATCCTTGAAAAACTGAAATTTTTTATTGGTTTATAGTATACAGAAATAAAAAAAACTGGAAATCGACATTACAAATCAAGAGAATGGTGAATAAAATTACCAAACAGCTAAACAAAGTATGCCATGAAGCAGTGGTCAAAATATAATAAAATCAGAAATAACTCACCCTCCTTTTTGTGATGTATTCTTCAAAAAGTTGTGGTTGATTGAAATAAAAGAATAAAGTAACAGGAAAAAACACATACATGGCCATCTGAAACAAGATATACAACACTTCTGTTATTGGGATAATAATAACAACTAAATAAAAACTGTCTAGCAAATATGTTTGTACAGTTACGCTGCGAACATTTTCAGAAAGTATTATAACATGTAGTAATGACCAGAAGATACAATTAACTTTAAAGATCTACGGCCAAGATATTGTCGCGTTGACTGAACTCATTGATAACCACTGAACCACTGCCGAAATTTCCTTGTTTTTCAAAAAGTTCTACGCCAGCACAATTAAGTGTAGCCTGACAAGGTCGCGTGAGTTGCGCCCTTAGAGGTGCTCCAAACCCAACACAGGCCTGACAGAACAGAGTTTTTGTTATTTCCTTATTTCACATTCTGGAGTTTACAAGCAACAACAGTTTCGTAGATGCCAGGATTGTATAATCTAAACCAGCGGATCGGAGGGGGGGGGTTAACGGCACATGATGACAGTCACAGAAGACACTCACCCTCCCAACTTCTAGTTTCCAGCCACCCATGATTCAGCGTGCGACTGTACGATTATTCAATAACCAATTGCAGTTTTAAACAAATACACAAGTACACTCGTCACTGCTCCAAATGTCACGTCGCCATCGTCTATCCTGCAACACATGACCTGTGACCTATCCGTAAAGTGTAACATATTTAGCGTCACATTCGACGCTGTTTATGTGCGTAACAGGATTGGTCAGATAAAATTATCAAAATTTACTTCACTTCAGAAAGACATACCGTGGTAGTTTTACTTATTTTTGGCTCGATTATTTATTGAGACTGAGACTGAGAGTGGAAGATAGGGTTTGTGACATGTGTAACCAAGGTACCATTAAAAATGAATTACATTTTATGGTGGAGTGTCCCAAATACAGTGACAGACGTGTTCTGTTTGATACAGCTGCTGATGTGATTGACTCCTTTCACAACCTGCCTTCTGAAGAACAGTTCACAGTATATCAACAAGTGCTTTAAAATTAGACAAATACGGGATTATTATGCATCTTTCTTTTAGAAGAAGTTGTGTTATTGTTTTTTTCTATTAATATTTTGTTTTTGTTATTTTTATTACTTCCTTATTAGTGTATTAATACTGTATAGTTTTACTATTATCTATAACCATTGCCACTCCCTCCAGGGAGTGAGTAAGTGTTAATAAATAAATACTCAAAAAAATATAAAATTATGTAGTTAAATAGTAGTTCTCCAACCTGGTCGTTGGTGGCGTACTTTTACTACGATCTGCACAGATGCGAGTAAAATCTGTACAACTGTACGTTTTTAATTCCATAACGTTCATTTTTTATTTACAGTGAAGGAGATAAAGTTGGGGTCGTTATAAAATTGGTATAAATATACATTTCTATAAATCAAAATGGATGTTAGAATTCAAATTGACCAATCCAGAAATGGTATTGTGAGATCATCATTAGTTCTGAATAATATAATGAGTTAGTTCAACATTATCCAATCAGCAAGCACCTCATTTTGAATAAATAGACGGTCGCAGTTACTACTAGTATGTCACGTAAAGGTATGGGCACGCATTATGGGCGTAGCCAGTGTTCTGAAATTTGAATGAAAGCTGATCTGTATTTACACTTCTGTGTAAGTATGTTTAAAAGCCCAAGCTTTATGACTTTCACCGTTTTATTACAACCAATTATAACTAATGAAAGGTTTTTTCTTCCAATTTCTGCAGTTCAGGGGTCACTTAATTTTAATTTAAAGGTTTAGTGAAACTAGCCAATTTAAACAAATTACTTGTAATGCATTTACTTCATTATTGGTAGTAGTGCATATTGCTAACATAAATTAGTAATTTTCCTGTGGTCAAAAGCAGTAATATTTTAATGATTTGCAGCAAATACAATTTTGTGTTTATATACACTACTAATAGAGCAATAGAACATGTTGAATTCATTGTTTTTTTTTCACATTGTAAAAACAAAAAAGTATTAATAACAAATACAATTACACAATTTGGAATCTAACCACCACCACTTTATTTATTTCAGTAAATTGAACTAATGCTCATCTATGAAAATACACACTACCGGTATCAATATACTGGTAGAATATTAAATGAGTGAAACTTCTCAGTCTATGGTAAAATAGACTTGACAACACAATGATTACATACTATAAATATATTGGAAGAACATGTTGAATTAATTTACAAATTGAATTAATGTGTTTACATTCAAAATATATAATGGACTGGTACACTACAATAGTCCTGTTATAAAGCTTGTGTAAGGTACAATGTTTCCAAGATCACAAATTAGTTGTATACATTTTATATACATTTTTAATTTATGTTTAAAAAAATAAGATATTAAATTAGAATGCTCAACTAACACAAGAATATTATTACACTTGGTATACTGGATACAAGACAAAATTTTCACAAAATACTAATCACATCAAGATCATCTCTCTTATTACACCAAGTTTTTATTGTGTTACATCCTGATAACTGGAAGTCTTGAATTAAACAGACTATTTATGATAAAATCTATGATATGAAAAAAACAGTGTGCAGCATATCTACATAGAAGTTAAAAATTAGTTTTATTTACTCTGAACATTGTCAATACATCACACCAGTATGATAATTGCACAATAACAAGTATTACACTTATACACAAGTTTACAATAAAAATACATATTAATTGATACATTTAATCAAGTATTTTAATTTTATCGACAATGTAGAATTATTTATTTTCAACTGAAGGGGTAAGTATTAAATCAGTACAAATAAATGACTTGTGTTGAACCCAATTTTACAATTATGACTACTGTGGAATACTTTATTTTCGCTGGATTTAATTTTTGCTGAAAAGGCTTTTTAGGCATTTTGCTAGGAATTTATTTTCACTGATTTTTTATGAGTTTAATGTGAAATATAGGAAAAAAAATATATTCGCTGGATTTTATTTTCACAGAATTATCCCTTCAGCGAAAATTTAATCCAAGCGAAAATAAAGTATTCTACAGTATTAAAAAATAATTCACAGTACCGGGGTACCTTGGACTTTTGCGCCAGTCTTAGTGAAGCATACCTTGTAATTCTGTGCAATTGTTATTTTATGCATCAGAATACATTCATTTATATGTTATACATGTCATCACCTGATCACCCTAGTGTATTGATATGTAAAAAGTAGGGCAATTGGTGTAGCCCTAAATGGCAGAATAAACAATATGTCAACTGTGAAAGCTCTCTGGTTTCTTTGACGTTTCATGTGAGTCAACACATCACAGTAGTACAGTTAACTATATAAAACTTTTTGATTATAAACCTGTGATATAAAACTTGTTATAAGTGATTGAATTCCAAGATGTATCCAGCGCTACTGGCATGAAATCCTTGATATTATAACTGTATATGTACGATTTCCAGTACAAACTACTATGAAATTGTTACCATCTGATCAACTTGTATGCATGGAATCTCAGAGTCTCCATTATGTTCTTTTCTGAAAAGGTTAGTGAAGACTACTATCACTTATTTTGGGATTGTAGACTTTAAGACTTTAAGAGAATGGTTATACTCGCTTACAGTTTTTCAATATTAGGAGTTACAAAATGTATTCTGGGTGATATTGATGAGTATGCTAATCCAATGCTTAACTATGTCCTACTTAAAGGTCATTATTACACATTTAAGTGCAAGTTACACTATCCAAATGTTGCAGGTTTTAAATCCTGTGTAAAAAATCTTTGATTTGGAAAGTATCATTGCGAAAGTGGGGGTCTTTTTATTGAATATTTTGATCGGTGATTGTGTTTTTGTAACTTCTGATATTATACACAGTATTCATATAAAACTGGACAGGAAGCTACAACTGTGCAGCATTAAAGATTTGTTCAGGGTTTGTCATTTCGAGTCATTTACTTTTAAAAAGTTTCTTACAAATATTAAAACTTTGTTAACACACAAATACGAAAATATCAACTCAATGTATTCAATATCAAGGCTACTTAGCAAAACATTTTGTTACATCAATTAATTCAAACCACTAATCAGCATATTTCAGAAATTCTTGACAATGTCAAACAAAAGGTCCAATAAATGAATGTTCATCATTTTACGTGACAGCAACAAGTACCAAATTGAACCCCTATGAAGCTTAATTTTTATGTAACGTCTATTTAATTGTTAAAAAAAGAATTAATTAATTTTTATTGGGTTGATCGAATCATTAGCTAAATGTTTCAACATACTGAGATAATTTCATCTCAGGCGGTACAAATCCTGTTCGACTGTTTACAACTTCTGTATGCCGAATTCCTTCAAATTCATCACCTGTAAAACAGAACAAGATGGAAAGAAGGTAAATTATCATTATCTTTTTTTTTTCTTTTGACAATATTAGTTAGACACTGTTAAAATTCAAAGTTATGAAAAAAAAGTTCCTGTTTTTCAATGGCCACCAGTCAGCCATTTTGAATCCAATCAAGCAAATAAAATGAGTAAAAGTCCCATTATGTTTAAATTAAACTACATGTATGTATAAAGTCTGAATGGAATCCATCCAAAAACAACTAAGATTCAGTTTTGAAATGGCAGAAATGTTCAATCTTGATGAATTTTAATGGTGGTCACCTGACTTGAATTGAATTGGATTTATGTGCCCGGGATGTAAAGGTTTGCATAATTTAACCAGTTGTACATAAATAATTTAAAATGTACTGTTATTTAAAAAAGTAACAAATTTAACAAATGTAATTTTGTGTGCATAATAATTGTTTGAGCCTTACTTCGTGATTTGAGATCCATATACTGACACACAGCGTGGAGCAGTAATCTGTCAAAACTACTTGTCAACAAAGATATGAATACAGCATCTGGACACAGCTGGAACCAGAAAAGAACTTCATCCTCAAGAACTTCTAGCGTTCCCTGAAATACAACATTAAAATATACAATTAAAGCCACATTAAAAACAAAAATACCCAACAGTTCTTTTAAAATGTAGATTACATTTATTTTCACTGACAATACCACTATACATTTTAAATACGTTTTACAAACACACAAATGATAATTTGTTTTTACTGAAGTACGTACCTCTCCATCTTTAAGACTGTCTCAAGGATATGGTGAAAAAAAGTTACCTTTGGTAAATGTCTTCTGTGTAACAATGTCTTCAACCTTCCATTAATTCGCTTAAAACATTGATCAGGACGAGCAGTATACGCAGCAGGATGGTCTGAAAAAAAGTGATGACAACTATTTAGCTGCTATCATCACATAATTTTATTATTGCATCAATAACAGATTATACAATTTCAAAAGCTGGTAGCTGTATCACAATAATGGGTAATCCTTTAGTGTGTTGGTGTTATAAGCCATGCATAGTTGTGAATACATGGAAATAACAAACTCGCTTCTCACAATGACTTAAACTCACTTTTCACAATGACTTAAACTCACTTCTGACAATGACTTAAACTCACTTCTCACAATAACTTAAACTCACTTCTCACAATGACTTAAACTCACTTCTCACAATGACTTGAACTCACTTCTCACAATGATTAAAACTCACAATGACTTAAACTCACTACTCGCAATGACTTAAACTCACTTCTCGCAATGACTTAAACTCACTTCTCGCAATGACTCAAACTCACTTCTCGCAATGACTCAAACTCACTTCTCGCAATGACTTAAACTCACTTCTCACAATGACTTAAACTCACTTCTCACAATGATTTAAACTCACTTCTCAAAATGATTTAAACTCACTTCTCAAAATGATTTAAACTCACTTCTCACAATGATTTAAACTCACTTCTCACAATGATTTAAACTCACTTCTCACAATGATTTAAACTCACTTCTCACAATGATTTAAACTCACTTCTCACAATGATTTAAACTCACTTCTCACAATAATTTAAACTCACTTCTCACAATAATTTAAACTCACTTCTCACAATGATTTAAACTCACTTCTCACAATGATTTAAACTCACTTCTCGCAATGACTCAAACTCACTTCTCGCAATGACTCAAACTCACTTCTCGCAATGACTTAAACTCACTTCTCACAATGACTTAAACTCACTTCTCACAATGATTTAAACTCACTTCTCAAAATGATTTAAACTCACTTCTCAAAATGATTTAAACTCACTTCTCACAATGATTTAAACTCACTTCTCACAATGATTTAAACTCACTTCTCACAATGATTTAAACTCACTTCTCACAATGATTTAAACTCACTTCTCACAATGATTTAAACTCACTTCTCACAATAATTTAAACTCACTTCTCACAATAATTTAAACTCACTTCTCACAATGATTTAAACTCACTTCTCACAATGATTTAAACTCACTTATCACAATGATTTAAACTCACTTCTCACAATGACTTAAACTCACTTCTCACAATGACTTAAACTCACTTCTCACAATGATTTAAACTCACTTCTCAAAATGATTTAAACTCACTTCTCAAAATGATTTAAACTCACTTCTCACAATGATTAAAACTCACAATGAC